CTGGAATGTGTTGCAAATGACCTCTATATGTTAGGTAACATCAGTGACACATATAGATGACAAATACCTCAGAATACCTCTATATTTTATATAAATGAATCAAAAATAATATTACATGTTTTTTTATTATCCTGATAAACATCACATTATTTTATATGTTCAATTCTTTCAATATACACTTTATTTCGATGATTGACATCTAAAACTGGATTAATCACAGGTGCATATTTTTGAGATATTTTATTTTTAAAGTGCATTTTATCGATAGTGAAGAACTCCCAATATTTTGTTCTACAAGACTTGTAGGCATAGTTCCAGACATCATATCATATAACTTACTTTGGGATTGTTATTAAATGTAACCTTTCTTTCCTTTTTCTGTTCCATAAGATATCAATAAGGTAAGTTTAAAAACAGGTAAAACTACACTTCAAAATCCTTTGTGCGTAATTACTTGCTACAACGACATCTATTAAATATTGGTGCACAAATCCTGAACTAAACCCTCTGGTCATTGTCGATACACTTCTTCTGTCCGTAATTACTTACACACAGCGGCATCTATTAAAACCTGGCGGGGAAATTCTGAACTAAACCCTCTGGTCATTGTCGATACACTTCTTCAGATAACTCTTCGGTGACCTTCAAAGAACTACCCCCTAACTGTGGTCACTTCGGATGGACATGCCATCCACAGTCCCAGTACCAGCCCAGCTCTACTACTTATAACAACTTTTGCAATATGCGCATGCCTACGTGCAACTTGCAGAAAGAATTGCAAACTGTAAAGCGGCTTTAAGAAATAATAATTGTGCAAGAGTAGCATATGTGTTGTAAAATTAGATAAATTCCTACCCAAATCCTTAAAAAGATTTAAATTAGCAATCAAGACACTCTACATGGTTATAATTTGCACTCAATATTCATTCTAAGTTGCAAATATTTAATTCTTATGGCCCACTCTCTTTGGCATATTTCCATTATTGTTAAAAATAAACCCAACAAACCCTATGTTGCTGTAATCGTGAGACAACACTACTAAAATCTGTAAAAAATACAAGGTGTCCCATTGTAAAATAAAAAAATGTTTCCTGCCTCTTTTTTCTGAGACACCCTATACAAGTGGCAATAATTTTAAAATGTGCCCCCTTTCAAATAAAAATCGATCTGTCTCTGGAATTTGGCTGAAAAAATTATTTACAAAGTTATTGAAGGTGGCTCCTTTTTCTTGGGACGCGATGTATAGAGTTCAATTTCTTTCGTTATTACAAAAACTTCAAATCAATTAGATACTTGTACTTAACTATAAAAAGAAAAATGATTTCTAATAATGAAAATCGTACGGAATTGACACCTAACTACTAATTTATGGGTTAAATAAACAATATGTCCTTCACAAATGCCGTTTAACGTCAACTAGGGAACTGTTTTTGTTTACAGGTGTACACATCTGTAAATAAACCTGCCCGTTTCACATATTCATGTAAAATTTACAGTAGTAAGTATAGATATTACATTTATTTTAAATTCATAAATATTAATTATGGCATTATACATATTTCAATCATTTACCAATTTTTACATTTAATATCATCATTACCTATGTTCTACAATAATGTTATTGAAAATTGTTACCAAGCGTCATCAACGGAGACATACATATATTAAAAAATACGTGTGCTACTTTGAACAGTATTCCTGGGGGTCCACTGAATATTTTGAAAATTCCACTAACTTGACTAATTTTTACAAAATCGATCAATCTATATTAGCGATTTTTTTAGGAAAAATGAATGAAAATATGAAATTTGGTGCAGGCCCATTTTAAGGGGCGCTTAATTCAGTGGCGTACTCAGATTTTTCCTAACAAAATCGCAGTAGTATAATTTCTTCAATTTTTACCCCTCAAAAATAATCTTGTAGGCCTTGCTTTTTGTACAAAAAAGATGATTTGGTCCCAAAGTACCCTTTTTCCCCTCTACAATTAAAAAAAGAGTTGGTCAAAATCACCCAGCAAATAAAAATTTTATGAGGGTATTTAGGTTTGAAATTAGCCACCCTGTATATGTATATTTATTAAAACAGTTATTACTTTCTTCAGAAAAATAGATTAGCTGCTATTGGAGGCTCGTCGGTACGTTTGGTGACAAATAACATGCAGAAATATTTGTTAACAAATAATTTCGCTAAATAGTTTAATTATAATAACCAAAAAATCTTTTAAAAGAACTAAAATTTGGGAAGTAATAAGAGGTAGGTACTTAAATATATTTTTATATGTTAGTTTGGTTTAGTTATTTTGGTGTCTTATTTTCTTCAGATGCTGTGCATTTACACTTTTCCGAATCTAAACCCTCGGACTTAAATGAAGCGATTATTATAAAGGCTGTGCAGGATTAGTTAAGACTAGCTCCTCAACGGTATGCCAGTAAGAAAAAAGACAAATAATAGGCATGCTTATTTCTTATTTAACCTATTAATAATATTTGTAAATATGTACAATATGTTCTACTTAAGGACTAGCCACCCTCGTAACTTTTTCATTTATTGACCCAATAAGAAAAGAAAAAATTTGTTAGATTTCGTAAAAGTGCGTTGAAAAAGCGTATCAATCATTTTGTAACTCGAGGCCACAGCCAACTATGACCATTTTTATGGTGTGAAAATTAGTATTACGGATTTTTTTAAAGAAAAAATTTCAACGGATTCTTATTCAGCGTCGCCTAAATCATGAATGTACCAATTTTTGCAGTTCCAGTGTAATATACAGTGTGTCCTATTTTCCATAGGTATCGCAATTATTGTTAAAGACGGAGAGTTGTGGCTTTCGCAAACATTGGCTACTTCTTTGAGGAAAATCATCTGGTCCAAACAGATTTTTGATATCTCTTTCCGTTTTCGGGTTATAACCAAAAATCCGTAAAAAGCGGACTTCCTGTACACTACAATAGAGCTGCAAAAATCGGTACATTTATGTTTCAGGCCACGCTGAATAAGAATCCGTTGAAATTTTTTCCTTAAAAAAATCTCTAATATTACTTCTCTAATTTTCACATCATAAAAATGGTCATAGTTGGCCGTGGCTTTGAATTAAAAAATAACTGATACGCTTTTCCGACACACTTTTAGAACAAAAAAAAAATTTTTAATGGGTTAATAAATAAAAAAGTTACGGAGGTGGCTAGTCCTTAAGTAGAACACGCTGTATAGTTATTACTTTTTATTTGGATTATCGTCGATATTATTTTATTTATATTGTATTTCAAATTAGGCTATATGTAGTAAATAGCAAATCTAGTAGATATAGACATACTGTATAGTAGGTACCTAGTTAAGTTAAACCAAGGGTTAGAAACAGGCGATGGTATAGTTCGCTGAGAAAGAAGCCGTTCCCACGGACTTGGATGAAAGGCGCGGCATCGTAAAGTAGTTCGGTGTGATTTAAAATAAACAAAGCTCCAAAGATACGGGATCTCGCCGGNTGTGTTTCTTAAACAATGTTCATTGTTTATTACAGATGTTCTGAAAGCTACATAAAATATACAGGGTTCTACGTAGTGTTATCTGAAATATTCAGGTTAGAATTTTGAAAAATTTTTTTCTCAAAAATTGGGTTCGATCGCACTAAAAAAACTTCAGATTCGTGTTCAGCACCATCGAAAATAGGGGGGTAGACAAAATTTTGTGAAAATTGGAGGTGGTGCCACTAAAGTAAATAATTACCTTGAACTTTAACAGTATGGAAATCATTTGATAATTGAGTTTTTCTTTCAAAGTGGTAATCGAAAGGGGGGTTTTGCATGCATACTTCAATGAACAGAACATCAAATTGTGAAATCGGCACAGAACACCATGAAATCTCACGAAAAAAAAAGTAATTTTAGCAAACGGAAATGAGTTTTGATAGCAGTAAAGAAGTTGCATTTTCATCCTTTTAAAGTTGGTGTTGTGCCGGAACTACTTCCGTTAGATTTTGGAAAACGTACAATTGGTTTAACGAAAATCTGAATGATGATGATATTCTAAATCAAACATTATTTTTCTGATGAAGCATTGTTTTATTTAAGTGGGTACGTAAACTCACAAAATTATTGCTCTTGGAACACAGATAATAATATTTTGCGTGAAACAACTCTGCACCGCATTAAACTTGGTGTTTGGGTAGCTATGTCACGTAGAAGAATAATCGAACCATATTTTTTTTCCTTGAAAATGTAACTGGACAGGTATATCGGCAGCAAATATTGTTACCATTTTTTGAGGAAACCTTGTATTTTTTTTAAAATTACTGTTATTCAGTTATTGTTATATATTATACTGTTATTGCATGTTTTCCAAAATCTAACGGAAGTAGTTCCTGCACAACACCAACTTTAAAAGGATGAAAATGCAACTTCTTTACTGCTATCAAAACTCATTTCCGTTTGCTAAAATTACTTTTTTTTTCGTGAGATTTCATGGTGTTCTGTGCCGATTTCATAATTTGATGTTCTGTTCATTGAAGTATGCATGCAAAACCCCCCTTTCGATTACCACTTTGAAAGAAAAACTCAATTATCAAATGATTTCCATACTGTTAAAGTTCAAGGTAATTATTTACTTTAGTGGCACCACCTCCAATTTTCACAAAATTTTGTCTACCCCCCTATTTTCGATGGTGCTGAACACGAATCTGAAGTTTTTTTTGTGCGATCGAACCCAATTTTTGAGAAAAAAATTTTTCAAAATTCTAACCTGAATATTTCAGATAACACTACGTAGAACCCTGTATATTTTATGTAGCTTTCAGAACATCTGTAATAAACAATGAACATTGTTTAAGAAACACATTTTCCCAAATTTGAGCTAAAAAAATATGTATTTAATAAGTAAAATTATAGTAACTTTATGTGGGATGAACACAAGGATATTTATAATACATAGGATTGCTCGATCCCTATACCTTCAATGTTGGCAGTTTTCCCACTCTTCCGTGACGTCATCGCGGACCTGGATGTGTAAGAAGCTTGTGTATTCTTATGGAGCTTGTGCGTTCATTTAATAAATTTGTGTTATATCTTCTTTCTTAAACTTTTAGCAGTAGTGTGTGTAAATTGTAGAACTTTTTTGAATCTTTGTGCACTATTTGTAGTAATAATAATGTGGTAAGTTGTAAGAAACAAATATAATTCTTAGTGGTAACCTATAATCTTTCATAATAGATGAGATGCCGTGGCGCCGTTCTACTATGTATGGCTTTAATAACAGCCGTATTTCAACGAAAACGGATAATCCGGAAATAGTTTACCATAATTTTCCCAAGGAAAAACATTAGGTAATAATTACATTATTTGTTCAATGTTCAGGTTGTCGTAAACAATTGCTGTATATTAATTTGTAGGTTTGCCTCCACGAAAACTTCTTAAAACAACTGCTGTGCCATCATTATTTCTTCCAAACAAACCACAGGATGTAACAAGTTTACGGACACAAAGATATAATAAAAAAA